CCAAACCAAAGCCAAATTGCCTGGCCAGGCTGGCTGTGAGCAGAGGCTGGAGCTGGGCAGCAAAGGACCAGCATTTTGCACCCCTGTCTCAGCTCCTCGTGGCCCTGAAGGAGCCTCTGAGCCCATCCCACAGAGATGATGGTGACCCCCAGCACTGAGTGACAGCTCCCACCTTCCTGGGTGGCCAGTGGAGCCCTCTCCCACCCAGCCTGGCTTTGACCCCCCCCCCCCTTCCCAGCCCTCCCTGTTGGGGGGTGGGTGGCAGCCGAAGGTGCTGCTACTCAGGCTGGGGTGCAATGCTGGGGAAGTTGTGCCAGCCAGCAGTGTCTTGGAACCAGGTCCTGGAGATGCTGTTTGGTCTGTGCAACAGGGTCAGGAATGAAGCGGAACTGCCTACATGCCGTGAGCATACATATCCTCATCGACACGTCCACGTGTGTTACCCCTTCCCCGTGCACATGTGTCATGGCCGTTCTTGGCCAGGCTCCTCGTTTACTGACCTCTGTTAGATGCAGAGCAGGTTTGCACAAAAATGCTCAACCTTGGGTTTAAATCACGCAGGGCTGGGGATGCCACCTTCTCCCTGAGCTGGTCCCATATGAACTGCCTTTACCAGGAGCCTTCGGTCTTTGCTTCTGGCTTGCCTAGCTCAAGCCCAGCTGGGGGACTCTGTGTGGACCCCTTCCCAAGCTGGGTGGCCACAGAGCCATCCCAGTTCTCTCTCTGCTTTCAGATGGATGTGGCCTGGGGGTGTGTCTCCCCTGCAGTGCCCTCCACAGGGCTCCTCAGCTCTGCTAGATCTCTACCTGTGTGCCTGGCTCCCCTCTGAGCCTCCGCCACGCACTGGGTGTGGATGCCAGAGACGAAAACAGCGCTGGTCTCATCAGAGCCAAATGTAGCCTTGGTGGATGCCGAACGCCAGTGGAAAATCCCTCTGTGCACCCATGGGCTGCCCTGGATGAACTTCTGCTCTGCCTGAGGAGCAGGAGCGAAGCTGCCACACGCTGAGCCACTCGAAGCTGCCCGTGCCGTGCTGGCAGCCCTGCTGATGTGGGGGGTGAGCTCTCCTCCAAACTCCCCAGCCTGGGAAGAAGGCAGAGCCTGGCTTTGACTCCTCCGATCTGCAGGAGCATCGCTGCCTGGGAGTCAGCACGTGGCCACTGCAGGGTGATGGAGCCAGCATTGACACCGGCACTTCCAGGAGCACAGCCTGAAATTAGGGAAGCAAAGGCCGTGTTTCTAGGGGGCTGCTGGGCCGGAGGGACAGGAGGTGGTGAAACGGTCTCCAAAGGGCACAGAGCCTGGCTTTGACTCCTCCGATCTGCAGGAGCATCGCTGCCTGGGAGTCAGCACGTGGCCACTGCAGGGTGATGGAGCCAGCATTGACACCGGCACTTCCAGGAGCACAGCCTGAAATTAGGGAAGCAAAGGCCGTGTTTCTAGGGGGCTGCTGGGCCGGAGGGACAGGAGGTGGTGAAACGGTCTCCAAAGGGCAGAGGAGCAAGCCCAGTTCCCTGAGACGAAGCTGTGAGAGCAGACTGCTGAAGAGGAACCTGCTGGGACCACGTCACCCAGGTTGGTCCTGCACAGGGGTGGGCACAGTTCCAGGGGGCTGTGACTAGAACACAGGGGTAGTCTCCTGGCCTGGCGTTCCCACCGCCCACGAAATATGCCTCAACCCTACTGCTAGTAATTGAATAGAGAGGAGAATTAATTGTGAGCGGGCTGTGTCTCCCCTCCCCGCTCCTCATTTGCCCCGGGGCTGCCTCGGTGCTATGGGTAGCGAAGACAAGGTCATTCCCATGTAACACATCCCGGTGGGGTTCGGCCAAGTTCCTTCCCTTCGAGGGGGGGGCAGGTTAACGGCGAGCGGTGGGATCGCCCCAGGCTGCGCCGTGCTGCTCCGCCATGGAGGAGCTGCTGTTTC